AAGTGAATCAATATAAGCTGAAGTATAAGAAGCCTGAAAGTACTCACTGAAAAGGATGATGCAGAAAATGAAAATAAACTAAAATGCAATGAATAATGCATGTGATGAGAATAAGCCTAAAGAAATATAAAAATAAGAAAAGAAAGAGAAGGGAACGAACTCTCCTTGGGTTGCCTTCCAAGCAGCGCCTTTGTTTATTGTCGTTGACTCAACCCAATATTACTTTCTTTAGCTCGCATCTAGCTAGGGCATTGTTAATCTTCCTTGCATTGCACCAAGCTCATTGGAGATAAACACCGGTGATGCTCCATAATCCTGCAAATCATCAAAAACAGCACAAATATTAGCATAGTCACCATCATCATATCCTATCAAAATTTCAGAATTCAAAAGGAAAGAGTTTAAAGGGTCGGGGCCAATAATCGCAGGTACTTCCTTCTGAACGAGTGCATCAATCATGAATGTTTGATGACACTTGTCATCCTCCTCAGGTTGCTTCATGATGTGAAAGGTGTTGATGTCTAGGGTCATATTCCCAAATGATAGTTTCATTAGACAATTCCTACAATTTATAAGAGCGTTAACTGTGGCAAGGAAAGATCTACCAAGACTAATGAGAATTTTAGAATCAACATTCACATCAACCTTCACATCCAAGACCTATAAATCAACGGGGTAGTAAAATTTATCAATTTGAACCAACACATCTTCAACTATTCCCCTAGGTCTTATAGTGGACCTATCAGCTAGTTGTAGAACCACAGAAGTGAGTTTAATTTCACCTACACCTAACAACAAGTATATGGAATGGGGCATAAGATTAACACTGGCTCCTAGATCAAGGAGAGCTTGTGCAAACTCATGGTTCATGATGTGCAAGAAATAGTTGGACAGCCAGGGTTCTTATATTTCGATGGAATTCTTTGTTCAATCACAACACTAACGTGTTCGGTCAAGAAGGCAGTCTTCTTGACAATTTGTCTCTTTTTCACAGTGCACAAGTCCTTAAGAACTTTAGCATATGTAAGAACTTGTGAAATTATATGCAAGAGTGGTAGATTGATTTTTACTTGCCTAAGGTGTTCTAGGATCTCACTGTGTTGATTGACTGATTTCGGGATAAGCTTAAGGGCTTGAGGAAAAGGTACTCTTGATGGATTTCCTACTACCTCATCACTAGGGCTACTTTCTTCAGACTCACTAAACTCCATTTCATTTTTCCTAGATAAGGAAGTTGGTTCATAACCTTTCCAGATCGAGTGGTAACGGCGTTCACTTCCTTAAGGTTGCTTTTTCCCGAACCTGAGGTTTGAGCCATGTGTTGTCCCTTATGATTTCGTTGAGCCTGTGTTGGAAATTTCCCACGTTCTCCTACAGCTAAGACATTGGTCCCAGAGGAAAGAGATAGGGCTTCCCATATGTGCCTAAGGCATTACAATGTTCCTCATAAAATCCCTCCCATCTCAATCAAAGTGGTGCACTCTTAGGCTAGGTGATCTACTCCACCGCACACAAAACAAGGTCCTAAAGATTCAACACGGGAAACAGTTTGTGCAGATTTAGAACTTTAGCACGCAAGGTTTCAAGTTCTTTAGTGAGGGCTTCTACTTTGGCTTTAACACTATTTTCTTTCCTAAGTTGATAGATACCTGTACTAGAGAGGTTTCCCGTGGGTCATGACCTATTGGTACTATCAGTGGGGCTAGGTCCAGTCCAAGTATGAGCTTTCTCAACAAGGTCATCTTAATACTATATGGCCTCATCTAGATCTTTTTGCGCGAAGTCACCTTTACACATCATCTGTACGAATTGACGCTCCCTAGGTGTTAATCTCTTATAAAAGTAACTCGCTATACGCCAGCTCTCATAACTATGGTAGGGGTAGAGCGCCTGTAGTTCTTTAAATTTTTTCCAAGCCTAATATAGGGTCTCACTATACTTTTAAGTGAAAGATGAGATTTGTTTCTTAAGGGCGCTAGTCTTATGGTGGGGAAAGTATTTATTAAAGAATTCTTGCGTCATTTCAGCCCATGTACTAATTGAATGTGGTCTCAACGAATATAGCCAGGTCTTTGCTCTTTCTTAATTTGAAAACGGGAAAAATTTTAACCTGACTGCATCCATTGTACCATGTTGATTGTGGAAGGTTGCAACCACCTCCTCAAATTTCCTAATATACACGTATGAATTTTCACTGTCAAGTCCATGAAAAGTGGGAAGAAGTTGAATCATTCTCGATTTTAGTTCCATACGTGGCATATTCAACGAAAATATTATGCATGATGGTGCGGATGTGCGCGTGGGTGCAGATAATCATGTAAGTCCTATAAGGCGCATCACCGTGCTCACTATCAAGCATTGTGTTATGTGTTGAGGTGTTCGTGGCAACTGATGCAGTAGTAAAATAAGGGTTATATCGAGATTCAAACACTATAAAAGGTGCTTCGATAGAACTCCCTCGATCGCCTTGATCCTTGCTCATCAAATACGAAAACCAAAGAAAATGTGTGAAGACAAAATAAAAATGACACTAAAAAAATAATAATAAAATTAAATCAAATGGAAATGAAAAGAAAGGAACGATATCTCCCTTTTCGGTCAATCCCTTGATTATTCGTACCGCCTCCACGACAACGGTACCAAAATTTGATTACGCCCAAAGTATAATGCGGTAATTATAATACAGCTTTGGGGTGTCGTATCCACACAGGGAGATGGAAAATAATCCAAAGGTCCAAAAGGTGATGGTTCTCTTAAAATTTGTAATGATTTTACAGTTTGAATGAAATCCAAGTTTACGTAATGAAATTAAATCAATGTATATGAAAGTGAAGTGTCAGAATTCCCCCAACTGGTTTGCGTCATTCAACATCATCAATTCATATGTTTTTACTCAATTAAAGACATTAAATGTAACTCTTTAATCGGAAGATATAATGTTAAGCACAAATTCAATTCTATGGTAATTCTAGAAATCAAGTTTCCTAAAAACAAATTTGTACAATTAATTATTGAAATCAAATTCAAAAATTACCATATCCATAGACATAAGGCAGTAGAGAATCACACCAATCACTACAACAAAACTGTGATTTCACGATAAGATTTTTTGCGACATACAAAAAGTTGTCACAATAAGTGACTTAATGCGACACATTTTTAAAGCTTGTCGCGAAAATTGTTATGAAAAAAAAGTATTAAAAAAAATAAGGCGACAAAAAGTTATCGTAAAATGTGATAAGTTGCGACAAATAATAAAGAATATCGCCAAAAATATGAGGGAAGCAAGGCACCAAAATATTTTTGGTGGGAAACTTATGGCGACAAACATTTATTTCTTGCAACAAAGTGCTTGCGATGCAATATGGTCTACTTTTTGCGATAAAAAAATATTTGTTGCTAAAAATTCTATAGTTGGAGGAAAAAATCGCTACAAGAAAAATAATTTTTTTGCAACGGATAAAAAATGTTGCAGTGGACTTTTTTATTCACAATTTCAAGCGATTAGATTAAGTAACCAATTGATTTTCTTGTTTGATTTTATTTATGATTTTATTTGGGAATTAATTTTTTTTTTTATCGATCTCTTCTCTCTTTTACTTTGCTGGATTTGAAAATTTAAGACTTTGGTTGATTGTCTCTTTTATTTGGGAATTTAAGTTTTTGTACCATTCATACAAAGCTTGATTGAGCCACATTTTAATTCAATGATGCATATCATAAATTGATGGAGATTGTGTGGCTAAAAAATAAGGAAAATATTTGAATTTGCGTATAATATTATTTTACTAAAAAATATATGATTTAAAAGAAGAGAGTAAAAAATGTATTTTAAAAATAATGGAGATCAAACAGGGTTTAGTGTTACGGAAAAATTCTCTTTGTTGCACGTAAAATCTCCTAGTCAAAATTTTATTTCACAGCCCATAAAGTGGATCGGATCGGACCGGACATGACCGAATATTAATAAAAGCAAGAACCTCTCAGTTAGGGCCAGAACCATATCATCCCTCGACGCCGTCTTTTGCTTTTCTTCCTCTTTGAGTCCTAGTTTTCTTTCTCACCATGGTCACGGTAAGGGGTGGGTGGCACTTGGTTGCTGTAAGGGGGTATGGAAGCTTCTACGGCGGTGACAGGTCGTGGGATTTGGTTTTCAGTGGCGGTGAGGACTTGGCCGAACAAGACCTCACAAACACCACAATACAGATTAGTGAACCTGATTGATTCATACCCCCGGTGTCCCTCGTAGTTTTGTCCCCTTTCACACAGTCACTAAACCATATATAGATTCCCTTCTGCATACAGATTCCCATAGAGAATCAGAATATGCCAAAAACTTCAATTTCCTGCAAGTCATGGCAAAACAAAGAATCGATTCGATGGGTAGGAACAAAATTGAGAAAATATGATCCTGGGCTATTTCAGTTATTGGTGAAGATGATGATTCATTGCTATTGATGGCAATGGTGCTACTGCTATTGCTCTCAGCCATGGCCATGGGATACTATTGATGGTAGTGGTGCTACTACTACTCTTATTGGTGAAGTTTATTTTATTTTGTTTGTATATTGAGTTTTTACTCTTTTACTGGGGGAGTATAAGCTTGGTTTATTAGGAATTAGGCACTTATTCTAACTGCATATTTTGTAAATCGATAATTATTGATCATTTAACCATTACTCATTTTCATCAACTTATAATTTTTCCCAGACAATAGACAACTGAATTATTGTTCTAGGATAGTATGTTTGATTAGATGTGGACATTTATTTATTTGGTGCTCTTAGGATTGAATCAAAATGGACCACATTGGCTGTTTAATTTAGTTCTATTAGAATCTATTTCTTAAAATCGAGAATTAAAACTATGACATAATCACTCAAACATCCCATACACGCACCCCACCAGAAGAAAATTCTCATCAGAAATGGTGATTTACATGGTTAATCCTCCACTCTATTTATAAATTAGGGGTTTTCAGATTTGGATAGTTTTGACATATGGCCTTTGGGCATGTTTGTTCTTTGTGCAGTTTCATCAGTACCAGGTGGTGGGAAGGGCTCTACCTATGGAGACAGATGAGCACCCGAAGATCTATTGGATGAAGCCCTGGGCTACCATTGAGGTCCACGCTAAGTCGAAATTTTGGTTTGACCTCCACTACAATTAATAATATATACGTAATGTGTTTTGTCTAGAATGAATTCTGTGATGATTGTAGTGAAACGAATTGTTATTGTGATTATAAAGGTATTTTTCTGAGGAAGCTTAAGAATGTGAAGAAGAGCAATGGTCAAGTTTTCATTATTAATGAGGTGTACATTCATCTTTTAATTTATTGAAGTGTAAATATTGCTCTTGGATTTCAATAATTGGGAAATTGGTTTCTTTTAATGCTATTTGATCAAATGTATATCTATATATATCTTCATGTTTCTTTTTGTTGGTCGTTACAACTGTGTTTGGTGCATTGGAATTGTGCATTTACATGTTTAAATTTGTGCAAAAAGAGAAATTAATTCATACTTGTAGCCATTGCTTCAGTAAATCTTGGTTTCTAATCTGACATTCACAACTTATTTGTGCTATTGCTCCTTTTCAATATAGTGATTCTCAATAAGCCTCTTGTTGGATTAAATAATGTTGCTAATGAGGCATAGAGTCGGAGGTCAAGAGAAGTTTTTGGTGGTAATTTTAGTAATCTATGTATGAAACATAATAGGGTGCATCATCCTTTTTTGGTCGAAGTTGAATTGACTACCAAGGCTCGATTTTTATTTGATTTTATTTGTAGATGATAGATATATCTTATCTCTGAGTGGCCAATCACCAAACACGTGTATAATACCTAGTTTATGTGTTCGAACCATTTGTGAATTAGTTTGATGAGTTGGTTGAGGACAGGTGTAAAGATGTTGATATATCCAAAGGCGCTCACGCTTGTAACAGGAACAAAGATGGATTTGTTGATGACAAACTTAGATATGAGATATTTCTCCACTTCTAATTGTAGATGAAACTTTTAAAGCAATATCTAGCTGTATCTTCATATTTGTATGTGTATACACACATACATACGTACATACATACGTACATAGAAATAATGGAGTGTTTGATTTTCTACCCGTCTATTTGATTTCTAGATGAGGAGAATAAATGAAGGAAACTGGTTTTTCCCTTGAGGCGGGATTCTCTCCTCGGAGAAATTGAGCGGTAGCAACTGCAGGGGCCTCGTCTAGGTGAATCCATTTCTGAGCAAGGCATGGTTTTCTTATCAAAAGTTTTTGTTTGTACTTCTCGCAGAAAACATTCAAATAAAAAAAGATGCATTCTTTCAAGTCCAAGATCCGGATGGAAAAAAATGATGTGACACTAAATAAAATGTAGAATGCGAATGGAATGAGGATTTGACACTTGTAGTTGGGCCGTTCCGGTTAATGTACTTAATCTTCTTTTTGTTAATTTAATTTTGTACATAATGTGCGGTTTTAAGTTGTCTTATTTTATACAAGTAATCTCGATTTTTTTAAGTGTAAGAGAAGGATTTTGGATGACGGATTTATTACTCATTGTTATTGCATAAATAAATTTATCGACTATTGTGGAATGAGTTTTGTGTTGTGGACTAAATTTAGCTACATATATAAATAAGCACACAATAAATTAGGCAACAATTATATATTGTTGCACAAATGATAATGCGACCAACTACCTATGTCGTGGAATAAATTTAACTACAAATATTGAATATCTTAACATATATTTTTCAACGAGTCAAACGCATTGTAAAACAAACTATGCGACAAACACGTCTTGCTATATAATATATATTAGGACAAGCATGTTCTGTTGCAAAATGGAATAGGTAACAAACGTTATAACTTTAAAATATTATCCATAACAAACATATATCTCGCAAAAACTTTTTTGTAATAATCATTGGGACAAATTAATTTGTCGCCCTTTTAATTTTTTGCGACATACATGTTTTGCGATGACATTATGGCGACAAATATTATGTTGCTTTTTCAAACTATTCACGTCAAACAAATAATGTTGTTAGTTTGTTTATGCAATGAATGACTAAGAGTTGTCGCAGAATACATTCTGTGACTCATATAGCGCAACAACACATGCAACAAACATCTTGTTGTCGCTAAATTACTTTTGCAACAAAAATTGTATTTATGCGACAACAATTTTTTGTCGCGAATTCGGTATTTTTTTGTAGTGAATAATTTTAAGTAATTGAAATTGCAATTCAATAAATATTTCGAATATTCGATAGAAAAAGTGTGACTGAGTCTATGAAAATTCTAGTAAATGTTAAATTAATGTTAAAACTCATTTAAAACATTGAAATCAGATTCTAAAACTGTTTAACAATGAAAAACTCAATTACATATGCGTATGCATATGCATGGTTATAATGATTCGATTACCTTAATAAACTATGCGTATGCATGGTTATAATGATGCGTACGCATAGTAGACTTGTTTAGACTTTAGTAGTGAATTTTTGGAGTCTTGCGTACGCAAGGCCTGCAAGCCTATGCGTACGCATAGTATAAATATTTTTTTGTCGGATAGATTTTAGTATTTTGTTCATAACTTTTTCTTCTGATGTCTGATTGAGGTGATTCAAGTTGCGTTTGAAAGCTAACTCAAAGGGATCCAACTTTTCTTCAGATGTCATCTTCCAGTTCGATCATTTGATATGTCAAAAAAGGTCCTAATATGAGGCTGAAAATCGATGCGTAACTTCTTCAATTGGGAATTGATGTGTGATCATACTTTTACGATATTTCATCCCTTTGACCTCTTTCCTCATCTGCTTAACCCCTAACACTTTCGAATCTTCATCATAAGGTTAAGCAGAACTGTAGAGGATTTGTACTTTAGTCCCCGAACTTTCATTTTCTTCCACTTTCATCCTAATTTTCGCCCTTTTCTTCTAATTTTCGCCATATTCATTCATTTGCAACATAAATCAAAATATAAGGGAGTCTAGTGTATTTAGGCATCAATAAATCATGCAAATACAAGTATAAATGAATGAATTACTTTACAATTTGTGATATTATCACCACCCAACTATTTACACATCTACATGCATCTCTCTTTATTCAATAATATCCTATTTATTTTTTTCCACAATGCTATTTTATTAAGGAGTATAAATCACAGTTATATACCTTAAGGTGCCATGAAATTTACGAAATTTATTGAATTCATAATTGTAAAATTCTAAACCAATATCTATCCTTGAGGTTTTTATCTCAAGATCACTTAGATTTAATCTTTAAATACATTAAAAGTTTCATCATTGGTCTTTAATAGAAACACCCAAGACTTTCTAGAAAAATCATCAAAGATGAACAGATAATATTAATCACCAGACAGGACCCCAACAAATCAGCATATAGGTATTCAATAATCAGCATACATTGTTCACAAGAGGAAAACCCACTAATGTTAATTTTTTCAAAATCTTCTTGATTTTATAAAGACTTTAAACTTTTCTTACCACTGTGACCAAGTTTGTCATGTCACAGTTTTGCAAGAGTGATTTTTTGCATTTAAAATTGCTGTTGTCAGACCAAGTAAATGTTTTGTTTCAAGGAAATAAATGCCATGTGTCTTTGGATTGAATTGATCAAGTCACAGCCCCTAAAGATTTTAATATGTCAATAAACCAATTTAATGTCAAACTCATCTAATATACCTAGGGACACTAAGTTTCTTTCAAGATCAGGAACAAATATGGTGCCTTCAAAAGTAGAATATTGCCATTTTCAAGTAACAATTTATTAGAACGCATGTAAAAGAACAACTAAAATCAAGAATCCATTCGAGCCTAAATTGGTAGCATCTTTAGGAAAATACTATTTTGATAATTACGGGTATTTCCGCTTCCACCCCACCCACCACATGCCTAAACACATAAATAAGAAGGTTGTCCCAAGAAAAACCGTCCCTTGCTGCACTATCCATCGCAATTGCAAACCTTTCTTCCTTGGTGGGCCACATGAGTCCCACGTTCTATTATGTGCCACACTTTACCACCAAACTAGTGAAATCCTAAACACTCCTTCATCCTTTGTGTAACATCCCGAAAATTTAGGAAAAAAATTGTTCTATATATTATATTTCATCATTTTGAAAGTTGAGGAATTTAAAGTGAAATATATTTTAAATTCTTATATTTTTGGGTCAAAAATTAGATTTTTATAGAGCGAGATTTAGTATATCGATATTGTGTTGTTTGGATAGCTAATATTTAATTATGTATATTAGGTTTGAGAAAAAAATTAATTTAGATAAGAACAAATCAAGTTATGGCCAATTAAATAAAGTTATCATTGAATAAAATTTTGAGCGAATTAATTGTCCTTGGTTAAACGGGTTACACAACAATTGAAGTTGAAGTAAGAATTTTAAATTTTAGTTATAATTAATCTAAACACTAGTGGTTAATTCCTAATATTGATTTGCTTGATCATATCCAGTTTCATTATATTTAGACTTATCACCAATTTTCTGGATCAGTTTAATTAGAATGCTAAAAGATTAGGGGGTGTTCTCTTTGTATTTCAGTTTTGTGTTTTGAATTTTAAATTCATTTTGAGTTTCGTGTTTTGAGTGTTTGTTTTGAAATTGTTGAAAATGCGTTCTTTTTGTTTGTTTCTCAAAACAAAAAAAATGAAATTTTTTTTTTAAAATTTTGAAAATCCCCAAAAAATCACCTAAAAAAAAAAAAATAAAAAAAAAAAAATATATATATATATATCTATATATAATAATAATAATTTTTAATTTTTTTTTTATCACCATACCACCTCCGGAAAAAAAAAGGGGTTTCCCGCGTTTTCAGTTTTTTCAAGTTTTACACTGAAAACGCCCAAAACGACAAAAAAGTCGTTTTGTATTTTCTTCACAAATTTTTTTTTTTGTTTTCGAAAATTCGTTTTCGAAAATGGGAAAGAGAACACGTTTTCACCGTTTTGAAAAATCGAAAACAGAAAACGGCCCGAAAACGGTAAAGAGAACAGGGCCTTAGTAATTCCATTTTTCACCAGGAGACTATGCCCTTTGGTACCCCATGTCGACGTCAACCCTACTTGTTTTAAAACTCTATTGCATTGAAAAACTACAACCCATACTTGTAAGCTATTCAAAGAGTAGCTACCAAATCAAACTACAAGTGTCACTTCATGAATTGCTTTACCAAAAAGTTAGTTCCTATCCAATTGGTGGTACATGTTTTTCCATCCCAATTTCACCAAAACTTTATCATCTGTACTACTATAAATATCAAGTCAAAGTCTTCATTTTTCACCAACAAAAATAGACACGGCAGTGGAAATTAAACCAAAGGCAGAATGAGAATGGAAAATGGCAACGACTTTCCATGTGCAATATTCTAGGGAAATACATGAAAATAACCCAAATAAAAGAATAATTTTTCAAAATGACCTTTGACTTTTCCAAACATTTGAAACTACCGAATATACTCTCAAATAAATATTAACAACAGCCTACTTCATAATAAAATCCTTCTATTTAAGTCCTTAAAAAATTAACAAATAATTTTTCTAAAAATTTGAAAGAATTATTAATGACTAATTATAAAATGGAAAAACCCAAATATAAGAGAGGACCATTTAATATAAAAAAGGTTGTTAAAAATAAAAAAGAAATTAAGTTTGAAAAAGAAATTGATAAGATAGGATATCAAGAATAATTATATGCATCACAAGAAATATTAAAATGTTTCAAAGAAAATTTATTAGAAAATTTTGCTAAAGGAATTGTAAGATCAATAATTATAAAAGATATACAAGATATAATACATAAATTAGAAAAAAGAAAGAAAAATATCTCAAAATATGATATACCTTTTAAAACAGACATAGATATGATAACAGATATTGATATTATAAATTCTCAGACATTGCTAAATTTTGAAGAATTACTTAAAAATTTATGAAAAAGATAATAAAAAATAGGTTACCATAAGCATACAAAAAATTAGTTTTTATCTTAAGACT